ACAACCTTTTCTCCTCAAAAGCGCAAAATACGACGTTATAAATATACACCGCAACAGATCTTTGCCGCCACGCACATACGACAGTTCGTTACAACTCACGAACAAGTCCTCAAACAATCGACCACATAACCAATACTCATATTAAATGTATATCCAACGCTTCACTCCGTTGCCCAACGCGCAATACAACGTTGTTATCCAAAAGTAAAATATACAACGCAATAAACCTTTGTCGCCACTGTATATTGCGCACACACGACACTTTGCTACAACTCACAAACAAGTTTTTAAACAACGACACGGTTATCAACCACACAACCGATGAAAAGAGTTCGAACGCGCGTTATTTATATTTACATGTTTCTCCGTTGCGCACGTATCGTTTCATAACAGCTTATCCTCCTCCAAAACGCCAAATACAACGTATCCAAAGTAAAATATACAACGCAACAAAACTTTGCCACTACTCCATATTACGCACTGCACGTATGACAGTTCGGTGAAATGATTGTCGATGAAATGATTGCCTCCCCCTGTAATAAAGTGTCGTTGTCAAACTCATATTCTCTATTTTACGTTTTTTTTCCACTGACCTAATACTCCAGTAGCCTTCGCAAGACTAGCTTGTAATTGTAATATTAATACGTCTACGTTTCTTTATTATTATTATTATTATTATTGGTATTAAATATAAATATGGTCCGGTGCAAAAAGGTTGATACACCAATATGCTTATAAAAAAAACTCTTTTTTCCAAATTAATGGAATGCTTTAATAAATGATTTATGATTTATATATCTTAGATGCAATTTTTATTAAAATTTTTAAATTTAACAAAAAAAAAATTACTAATATTCAACTTCTCCGACTTCAAAATCACTTTCAACCAATAACTTGTGTACAAGTTCAACAACATTATGGTCAAGTCCTTTTTTGGGCATGCCTTGGATTGTTTGCCGTGAGAATCCTTCATTTTCACTTCCGTTATACTCAGCAACCACACGCGCAACTGTTGCCTCCCCAATACTGAGAACCGAAGCAACCTCCTTGCGTAGTGATGGGTCTTGACGTTGCGTCTAGCGTTGGAGAATACTTAAAAAAAAAGTACTGATGAACTCGAACAATCATCTTTTTTTCGTTACTAGTTAAGAAACTTCAATCTCGTTCCAAGTCATCCATGAGAAAAGAAATGAATAAGAGTTTGTTAAGAAAATTCAAATTTGAAACATTCCTTAACCTTTGTATAATTTGTACGCTCACATGACTTGATTGGCGAGTTTTGAAATATAGGAGAAATGATTTTCGTGTATTGCACTGGACCATACTGTACGTATGGAAATAATAATAATAACCGAACACGTTTCTGGTAAGTATGAGCCTGGAAATTTCTAGCAATCAGTAATACATACGATTACTAATTACCAACTGAATATTATTACTAAGCAAAAGCCAGAATACACCGAATTACATATTGGTATGTATAATCAGGGCAGGTCAAATGCGGTGTATTAGTATAGCATACTCAAGGTGTTTTACGCTTTGCCGATTCGAAGGCAAGCTACGCTAGAATCTGAGTTCTTAGCATGCTATAGATTCACGATCCATATTTCTGGGGCTAATTCATAATTCATAATTATATTATATTGTATAGAATAAGCATCTGATGTAAGGGGAGTGGGAGATTTGGGGTATCGTTATGTGTGCGGATACGTTGTTGGTCCTTGGGATTATAGCTGGACAGAGGGGAAGATGTATAATAATATATTGGTACATCTGATAGAGAGACGGATTATGTATGTGTGTGTCGCTGTCAGTTTTCGTTACGTTACTAGTGAATCTTATAATGCCTATTACTCTCTACAGATTGAGATTACTATTAATTCTATGAGTTTATTTATATATCAATAGGCTATAATGCTAGCTTTGGTGTTAGCACTGTTAATGTTCAGGATGCAAGTTGTGATCGATCGCATAATAATAATAGAATCATGGTCATTGCTAAGACTCATTTATATTCTAATGTTACTGATTTGTAGATGACGATTGAAATTTAGGTTTAACGTTACCAGCATCGCTGCATTAAGAATGTATTTACTATTACTAATACTGAAGCCAAGACATCTGTTAATAAATAATATTACTACCCTTCATCGTCATCATCAGAATAATTCATCATATTCACATATTAATATTACAGTTAATATTGTAAACAAGTAGAACTAGTAATTAATATTAAGGTGACAATAGACGGTAGTAAAGCGATGGCGACACTCCTATTATTACAATCTGTATCATTGAATGAACGTTTTATCATAGTAATAATGTTACAGCAGAAACAGAATTCACTTGCTATAAGTTGTGATACTCATTGTATCAAATTTTTTTTGCAATGTCCTGTTTCTTGCGGGGCTCCTCAAGATCCTTCCACACCTTACGGACTTTGTGAGCTACAGCTTCAACATAGTCTATACAATTTATTGCAAACAAGGATGAACATTATAATTAATATCAGCATATATGATGTTATTGTTATTCAATTGCCACATATTAATATTAATATTACCTTGATCACCAGAACTCTGTTCACAAAATCCCGAACAGTCTGGTCTCCACATTTCTCCAGAGGAATATTGAAACTGTCTAAGCCATTTCTTTCGTGTATTCTCTTTGAATTTAATGATGGTAGCCTGGTTACGTCATTAATCGAAATATGCATGAGGTCAAAACGATCAATGATTTTGTTGACCCCATTGCATTTATCTTCTCGGAGACAAGCCTTGCTTGTATCTCCTTTCTGTACAATATAAATGCGTTCGGGGATTGATGAACGCTATAAGAGATAAGATAACAAATAAATAATTGTAACAAATAATCAAATAGCGATATAATGTACTACTTACTTGCAACTTGCAGCATAATTATGGGAGTTTCCAACAGTTCTCGATAGGCGTTAGCCACAACAAAGTCTAAGAGGATGCTAAAATCAGGCTTGTTTCCATGGTGTGGCGCGCCCGTTGCAATCTTCCTCGGGAGACTTGCAAAGCTCACATTTTCAGCCCTGTAAACAATTAATCTACAGTTACTTCATTGCTTTATATTAGTATTAATAATACAACCATCGCTTTAATTTCTTACATACCACTGTCTCCAAACACCAACTCGTTTATTATTATATGCAAATAGAGGATTGAGCATAACTATATTTACATAACTCCCCTCGCTGTAATCTGCCATTGGGGTCTGCAAATGATGGTTCACTCGGTCCAACATTTCCGCCTATTAATAAGCAGTTTTTTTTAAGGGGTCACAAAAAACACTGAGGATTTGCTGTGCTACTGCTAAGTATAGTTAGTAAGCAAAATCATGTGATACAAGAATTTTTCTCAAAAAAAAAAAGCCGACACAATCAGGTCGCGACATTATCATGGATGATAAAGAGAAGAAAGCGCACCGACCACGACAGGCTGGGTCAAAAAGAGAAAAGAAAGACAAGAAGAAAACCAAGAATGATGAAAAACATAACCCAAAGGTGCTATTATTATAATATAATTCTGCTGCGAATCTTTCATTTATTAATCTTGTATGGTCTCCAACATAGGCTTTTGCTCCGCGATCTGGTCGGAAAGCTGAAAAACTTGCGCGTAGGAAAGTGGAACTGACTCAAAAGAGACTTCACGTTCCTTTAATTGACAGAACCCCGCTGGAACCACCGCCTGCAATTATAGCCGTCGTTGGACCACCGAAGGTAGTTACCAACATTTCATCAATTCTGCTTATCGCTCTGCTACGGAAGCTTAATGGCGTCGACATCTGATTTCAGACCGGAAAGACGACTTTGATCAAATCACTCGTGAAGCGTTATACTAAGCATAATCTCACAACTATCAAAGGACCAATAACAGTTGTCAGTGGTAACAATTACGTTCGCTGCCAACATGAGTAATATTAACATCAAGCACTCTAAGCTCTTTGCACAATTGATATAAACCAACGTCTGTATTTGCTCTGTCACGATTTGCAGGCAAGAAACGGCGGCTGACTTTCATAGAATGTGCAAACGATCTCAACTGCATGATTGATGTAGCAAAAATAGCCGATTTAGTGTTATTGCTTATCGATGCTAGTTTTGGGTTTGAGATGGTAAGCAGAATGGTTTGTTTTTTACCTCGTAATTTACCTATTTTGTTCAAAGTTCAAAATTGACCGTTCATCAGGAAACCTTTGAATTTCTCAATGTACTTCAAGTCCATGGGTTCCCTAAAATTATGGGCGTACTCACACATCTCGACAAATTTAAGAAAATGAAAACACTTCGAGCTACCAAAAAAAGGTTAAAACACCGCTTTTGGACAGAAATATATCAAGGGGCAAAGTTATTCTATTTGTCAGGCGTAATCAACGGTCGATATCCGAACATGGAAATACTGAATTTGTCACGCTTTATTTCGGTAATGAAATTTCGTCCTTTGATCTGGAGAAACGCGCATCCATATTTGGTTGCTGACCGTGTAGAAGATTTGACTGATCCAGAAGAAGTTAGACAGAATCCCTTATGTGATCGTACAGTGACGTTGTATGGTTATTTGCACGGAATTAATCTTAAACTCAACACGAAAATGCATATACCTGGTGCAGGCGATTATTACTTGAGTGATGTGTCATCGCTGCCTGATCCTTGTCCATTGCCTGATAAGGTTCGCAGGAGTCTGAGTGAGAAGCAGAAATACATATATGCTCCAATGTCTGATGTCGGAGGCATTCTTTACGATAAAGATGCCGTATATATAAATGTTCCTGGAAATTTCACCAAGACCGATCAAGGTAATGTACGCACCTATGGCTTGATGGATGTTGAAACGAACTTGTAATACTAAAATGTTTTCCTAATAATATTACATATCCTTTGAAGGCGTAGAACAAGACGCTGGGGAAAAAATGGTCATTAATCTGCAAGACGCACCAGAGACACTCGCATCTCGGCTTGAAGACAGCGAATTACGTGTCTTTACCAGGTCTGAACCTTTGAAGGCTACTGACTTGACCAACAGATCAGAATCGGAAGGAGATAGTGATTTTCATAATACATCCTTCAAAGGTGTGTCATGGTTATTAAATATAAGCTCGTTCACAAGAGGAAGAGGCCAATAGTACTGTCAAAACGAACGTCTTACAATATTGCTACTGTGCCTAATGTTTTACCAGACGTTAAATTAGGGCCTGCCCCTGTTGACTGCTATGCAAGATGTTTGTACAATAGTTGAAGGGTTGATCGGTAGTTGGCAGTATATAAGTTTGTTCATTCTTAGAAGTATTGCTTAAAAATTATTTTGTTACCTACAGGATCGGTAGAATCTGTTGAAGATGAGTCAGGACAACGGCGTCGGAAAGTTGTTTTCTCGGAAGGTGATAAAAATGAGACAGATAAGGAATTGAGTGAGGCCGAGGATGGCATTGCGGGTATGGAACTATTGAGCGAAGAAGAAGACATTGATGATGATGATGACGTTAATGTTGTTGATGATGATGATGATGATGGTGATGATGATGACGATGATGGCGACGATGGCGACGATGACGATGACGATGACGATGGCGATGACGATGACGATGACGATGACGACGACGATGATGATGACGATGATGATGACGAGGAGGATAGTATTGATAATAAAATTAATGATAAAGAAGAAAGGAAAAGGAGAGCGGCATTAGCCAAACACGAAGTAGGGAACGATGTTGATGGCGAAGAAATAGCGTTTGCTGAAAGCGATAGCGACCTTGATGATATTATGTCCGAGCAAGAATTCGATGATGGATACCTGAATAGTGCTTTAAAGTGGAAGTCTAACTTGGCGGAGAAGGCGAAAGAAACGTTTCATGCAAATCGACGCGTCAACTTGATGCAACTGATATACGACAGTGGCAAAAGTCCAGAAGACATAGCCAACGGAGACTATGATTCTTCTAATGAGAAGGGCTCTCTAGAAAATATGGATGAAGAAGAGGAAGAAGACGATTTCATTACATTTAAAAAAACTGATAGGAAGGATGTTGTCTCGTTAAATCGGGTGGATTCCGTAAAGTCTAGTGTTGACAAAGCTTTGCTAGCAGAATGGGACCAAGAAGAGGTAATTTGTCTTGTAAACAATTAGATTTTGGGCGCACTTTTGATATTTACTTTAATATTGCGTTACTATTAGACACTTGAAGCTATACGAAATAAGTTTATAACAGGCTCACTTGAAGATAAAGGAGATACCCAGAAGTCAGACGATGAAGAAATTTATGGCGACTTTGAGGATTTGGAAACTGGTGAAATCGTAAAGGGCATATCCGAACCGGAGCGAACAAAGGAAGGGCTTGATCAAGAAGAGCTTTCTCGCAAAAAAGAGGAATTGAAAAGGAAGTTTGATGCAGAGTATGATGACAAAGAAGAAGACACCCCCGCAATGAGTTATTATGATGAAGTTAAGGAAGGAATAGCCAAACAGCTAGAACTTAATCGCGCGGAATTTGAAAATGACGACCCTGTTACTCGTGCTATGGTTTAAGGATACTGTCCGGTTACATACCTCAGAATTTTGCTAAGGAACATGCCTTGTGAGTTTGTGAAGCATTTTGATCCGATTTATCCCATTATTGTTGGCGGTTTGTCGGCTAATGAAGAGAATCTTGGATTTATTCGAGTGAGTTTATTTGTAAACGGATATTTGCATATAATTATCCTCTGCTATAACTACTTTTATTGTCTCACGCAGGTGCGAATAAAACGCCATCGTTGGCACAAGAAAATTTTAAAGACAAACGATCCGCTCATATTCTCACTTGGATGGCGTCGATTCCAAGCAATGCCTGTGTACTCTCTAAGCGATGGAACACGGAATAGAATGCTAAAATATACCCCGGAACATATGCATTGCACAGCGACGTTCTACGGTCCTATACATCCGCCGAATACGGGTTTTTGTGCAGTGCAATCTGTATCTGGGCAGTCATCTTTTCGCATAAGTGCAACGGGTGTTATTCTTGATATCAATCACTCTGTTGAATTAGTCAAGAAACTAAAATTGACTGGCACGCCTTACAAGATATTCAAGAACACAGCCTTTATAAAAGATATGTTTAATTCTGCTTTAGAGGTAGCTAAATTCGAGGGAGCTGCTATACGAACAGTATCTGGTATTCGTGGACAAGTGAAGAAACCTTTGCCGGTAAATTATACAATTCTATTAACAATACGGTTCGTTATTGTGCTGATAACAATTCTTATTCTTATAATAGAGATCAGATGGATTGTTCCGTGCAACTTTTGAG